GATGAACTCCTCAGTGATCGGATCCCGACAGTTCATCGCCTTGTTCCGGAACCTCTTGACGAAGGTGTCGACTAACTCCCCGTCTTTCTGTTTCTCATCAAGCAATGATCCGATAGATATCTCGGTGTCATCGTCGAAGAAATTGGTGAGGAACATGGTCTCCATATCGTCCCAGCTGTTCACGCTACCTGGCTTGAGGCGGCGATACCAATCGAAGGCGGCTCCGCGAAGAGTGCCGACGAATGACCGCACCATGGGAGGATTATTGGCATTGTGAGCTTCATCCGTATCCGTGTGCTCCTCTTCCTGAACAACCTGGTTACGACGGCTTGGTTCACCTTGCTGGTTCGTCAGCGTTCGGGTTTGCTGGTCATGTATTTCTCTCATGTTCTGCATGGCCATCTGCATTTCGAACCTGAAGGTTTCCTGTTGCTTAGCTAAGGCGTCTTCAAGCATTTTGGCCACTTGCTCTGCGCTTATCATGGATGACTCGCGGGGTTGTCCATCGCTGGATACCGTGTTATCTGATGCGACGGCAGAGCAGGAATCTGATTCTTCATCTTCTGACGGCGATCTTATCCGAATCCTATCATAAGTTCCTTGTATGATAGCTCTAGACTGCAGACGAGTTAGATACCGGGGTATTGGCGGAATTGAATCAGGATTATCCCGTGTCGATGCCCTCTTGCTGGTCATGTTGGTGGTGACCCTCGGAAACTCTCCGTCTTTGACTATCCTTCTTCTTCGTCGGAAACGCCTAGGCCTTGGTTTCGGCGTTTCGATACTGAGCCTTTTGAAAACCGAAACTCTTTCGGGGACTGCCTTGATGCAGTTGCACTCAGCCAGTACCACCCGAATGAGCTTTGAACAAGGGCACTGGGTTTCTAGCCTTCGAGGACTTCTCTTTCTAGCTTTGCTCGTACCCCCAGCACGATAGTACAGCTCGTCTGTTTGAAAGTCGGAGCAACCTATTGTGTGTTGGCACGATTTCTCAGGTATAACGCAATCATCATCAGACGATAATGTTTCCTTCTGAGGGTGAACTGCCTTCTTAGGGCTTTCGAAAGTCACGCGCCTCGATACATGCCTTTTTGGGCGTGAGTTCTCGGCGGGCTCCCGGACTTCGATGCGCAAATTAGTGTGTGCAGTTGCCTTGAGCTCCTTGTCACGTTGGAGGTGACGGCGACCCCCAGCGTGTTGAGTGGTTCGGGGATTCTTCAGCGGGGCCAAACATTCCTGAACTGGAACTTTGCCTTTTTCATCGGGAATTGGACCGAGGCGCTCCAAGACTGACTTCCTTTTTTGGGATGGTCCTGCGGGATCTCCCGGAGCAGTTGTGGAAATCATCGGCGGTTTGGATTGATTCGCCGGAAGTTGAACTTTCGACGGCTGCAGTTGACGCTCTTTGGTCTGAACCGCCGCTTCAGACTTCGGCCTCCAAACTTTGCTGGTTGATGGCGGCTTCTTGGCCACCTCTTTCTGCAACTTCCTACGGGCTTCTTCAGCTTGAGCCCGTGCCTGCGCTGATAGTGCGCGGCGCTTGCGAATGCGCTCCTCCAGCGTTGATCGGTTCCGTTTGACACGGACCCATTCCATTGTTGGCGGCTTGGAGGAACCACTATTCATTGATTGTTGAGGCTTTTTGCCTCTCTTGTTCTTCAGATCCGCGTTGTAGCGGATCCCGTCAACAGACTCCATGACCTTTGCGAATTGTTTCACAAGGCGTTGACGTTGCCTTTGGCGGGCTCTCTTCGAGAGAGTCACCACGCCCCCTGCGGCAAAAGGGTTGGCCAGAGTAGCTCCGACCTGGTTGGGATTTGGAGGAATCTCACCCGATGCGACTTTGGCATCAAACGGGGCAAGATCTTCATTGGTGTTTTCCACGTCTTCATACCAACGAGATTTTCTCCTGGAGGAGAGCTTCTTGGACTTGCGTGGGGAGGTTGATCCGGACGAGGATGACAAGTACTCCTCGAACTTCTGCTGGTCGAACTCGTATTCGACCTCCTCCACGACCGGGATTGAGATCCGCGGCTGCGACGCTCCGATCTCGGCAGCGAGATCGGCGGCTCCCACTGTGGTCGCCAGATTGTTCGCGTGTCTTTCTTTGTAATTGATTCCATTGTCATTTAAATAACAGCTTTTTGAGTTACAAAAGATCCGGTCTTTTTTAGATCCAGTTACAATGAAAATCAAAGAAAAATAAACAAAAATTATAACTTTCTCCTTTTGTGTCGAACAAATCGCGAGCTCCTGTTTTGCGGTCACTCGCTTTTGTGGGTTCTTTGCCTGCGCCGAGGTTTATCCGTGGACCACCACAAGATCTAGATCCGGTCGGATCTACGCAGTACAACGGGTATTATTTCACCAAGGAAATAATAGCCGAGGGGGGATTGGTTCACCAAGGAAACAATCGCCCAAATCTCGGGATCAAAGACCAAGCTTTGATCCGGAGTGTGCCTACGTAGATCTGAGATCCGGTCCTCTCGAACTCTTGCCTTATTTGGCGTTGACGATCGCCGAGCACCGGATCTGGAAGAGCAAGTCCTCAAAGTTCCAAAGCTTCAATCTTTTTAAGTTCTGAGTCTTCAATCCAGCAGGGCTTCGCCTCCAAAAAATCCAACCTTCAAAAAAATGAACGAGCCACCCATGGGTGGCTCGGCTTTGGCCGAGCCCCCCTTAGGCGTAGGGTTTTGTCGTTTTTTCCGTTGTATCCGCTTTTGTCCGTGATTCGGTTGTGCGGTTGATTTGTCTGGACTCGATTTGTTGACCTGATTTGGCAGTCGATCCGAATCCTGATTTGGTAGTAAATCCACTTCTGAGTTCGAGTCTGAAACCGATCTTGATTCGATCGTGATTCGTCCGAGTCCGCTTTTGTTTGAATGACTCGTTGATTCCCCGAACCGTTGGCTTGATTCCACGCTGGAATGGATGTATTCCGTTGCTTGCGTGCGATTCGTCAACCTCGTCGCCTCGTTGGTTCGTCGGTTTATGCCGAGCTATGCTAAGGGACCTATAAGCAATTTTATATGCCTACAATGATCATCAGAAGTGTAATGTTAACTTAATGACGTGAAAGATTTGTTACTCTTAATCTAGTTGATTCCAAACAACCAACCCCCAGTCTAAGTGAGTCAGTTTCCCTTTTTTAGACTCAGCTGGGGGAGGAAAGGGGATCCCATGATTCTTTATGGGTAGTACTTCTGAAAAAATTTCCCATTGATTGGCATCATGAGCCTATCATTTTTTTGATTGATGAGACGGTAGGCTCCATTCGAGTAGACTGACTTTATCATGAAGGGTCCTTCCCATTTGGGATTAAACTTTCCCTTCGTCTTGTGCATCATGACCATGGGTCATCTGACTACTAAGACAATATCGTCTTTCTTAAAGATCTTTTTTTTGACCTTTTTATTGTAGGCTTTGGAGATCCGAGCTTGATATAACTTGATCTATTGTTGAGCATGAAGTCATTTATCATCCAACGCTTCTAGTTCTTGAAGCGTAGTTGATGACGGTCCTCATATGTCATCCCGGTCGCAAGGGCAACTCTTAGGGATGAGATCTGAAATTCTAATGGTAGTACAACCTTGCAGCCATACACCAAAGAGAAGGGAGTAGCTTTTGTCGGGGTCCTCACCATTATGCGGTAGGTTCATAGACATTCACCGAGTTATTCGTCCCAGTCGTGTTGGCTTTTAGAGACGAACTTCTTGAGAAGCTTCACGATTATCTTGTTAAAAACTTCCACAAGGCCATTAGCTGACGGATAATATGCTATTGATGCAACACTTTGGATTCTAAACTTATTGGAAAATCTCTAAAAACTATAGCTGATAAATTAGGTTCCATTGTCATAAACTATTTGCCTTGGTACGCCAAAGCGGTAGACGACATGGTGTTTGATGAACTTGACCACGTCCAAAGCCTTGAGTTCTTTCAAAGGAACTTATTTTGCCCATTTGGAGAAGTAATTGGTTATTGCCAAGATAAACCGATGCTCTTTGGATGTTGGTGGGAAAATGGGTCCAACAATATCCATTCCCCACATCTCGAATGGTCAAGACGGAGATGTCGGATGCAGATTCTCTGGTGCTTGATGAATGAAATCACTGTGGACCTAGCATGCGTGACATCTTTTAGCACAATTGACGACGTCGGTGATCATTTTAGGCTATTAATAGATGGCCTTTTGGAGTCGATCCCCTAGTTTAGCTACAGGTTGATGAGCTCTACACATTCCGTCGTGAGCTTCTCTGAGAGCTTCTTATGTCTCTTTTTTGGAAAGGCAGTGAAGCAAAACTCCATCATACGATTTTCAATATAAAGTTCGAGAAGCCGCATCATAATAGAATCGAAGGGCCTTCTGTTTGATGGTGACTGCTTCTTTAGAATCATCAGGTAGTATGTCGTGCAAGACATAGTCGATGAATGAGAATCACCAATCTCTTGGTTCAAGACCTTTGGAAGTTTCACAAATGATCTCTGTTGTGGCCTCTTTCGAACAATTTCATGGAGGGAACTTAGGGTGATACAAATCACGGCCTGCCATAAGTATCTTTGTTTCTGCCTTCGGTGCAATGCTAGTGAAGTTTCCAGCGAAGCTAAGGCATCTGCATAGGCGTTACGGGCTCATGGAACGTGTTCGATAAAGAAGCCCTCAAAATTTTAAGCTAACTTTAATGCCGCAAAATGATATGGGACTAAGTCCTCGTGACGCACTTCGTATTCTCCTTGGACTTGATTTATGATGAGTTGAGACTCACCGTAGGCTTCGAGGTATTGGATGTTGAGTTCCTCAGCCAGCTGCATTCCTAGTAACAAAGCATTATACTCCGCTACATTGTTTGTGCATAGCTCGACTAAGGAAAATCCTCTTGGGATCACCTAACTAGTTGGGGATATGAGCACAACCCCTACACCAGCTGTGATTCCTCCATCAGGACTTGTTCTAGATGCACCGTCGAAGAACAATTACCATACTTGCATGACTCCTTGAGTTACGTAAGCCTCTGCAACTTCATCTGGTAAGTCTTCATATAATTTGGAAGAATTAGGCACCAGATGGTTGCTAAGAAATCTGTCAGGGCTTGGCCTTTAACTTCCTTCTGAGACATGAACTGCATTGAATACCACGACAGAAGTATCGTCCATTTTGTGAGATGGCAATTTAGAAAAGAAGGTTTCGTCATGAGAACTCTCAAAGGGTTCACTTTGGAGATAACGTGAATAGTCTATCCAACTAAATAATGTTGTATTTTCTGAATGGCAAAAAACAAGGCAAGACATTCATTTTTCACCAGATTGTACTGGTGTTCAGCTCCAATCATAGTTCTGCTGAGGTAGTAGATTACCTGCTCATGACCCTCATCATTGTTTTGAGCTAGAAAAGCTCCCAGTTAATGTTCCATGGCCCTCACATATAATAGGAATGGTCTTCCTGTTACCGGGACCACTAGGACGGACGACTGAGTGAGATATTGCTTGATTTCCTCAAATGCCATTTGGCAGTCTTCATCCCAAACAAAGGAGACTCATTTCTTCATTAATTTAGTGAAGGGTTAGTAGCGTCCTGAGAGGTTTGATATGAATATCCGGATGTAAGCCAATCTACCCTGCAGACCTCTGAGTTCCTTGATATTCTTTGGAGACTTCATTTCTTGGATAGCCCGAACCTTTTCTGGATTGAGGAAAATCCCTTTAGAGGTGACTATGAATCCAAAGAATTTACCACTGGCTACCCCTAGGAAAGATTTGGGGGGTTCATCTTCAGTTGATGTACTCGTATGATGTTGAATATCATCTTCAAGTCTGAGAGATGGTCACTTTTCTTTTGGCTTTTCACTACGATGTTATATACGTAGCACTCTACCCTCTTGCATAGATATTCATTGAAGATTGTGCTCATAGCATGCTGATAGGTTACACTAGCATTCTTCAGTCCGAAAGGCATTATTGTATAACAGTACACCCCCAGTAGTGTTCTGAAAGTTGTATGCTTTTCTTCTTCAGGGTGCATTTTGATCTGATTATGCCCTAAGAATCCGTCTATGAAAGATATCCTCTCATACCCACAAGTATTGTCAACCATGATATTCGTGATGGGAAGGAGGAATTCATCTTTTGGACATGTGACATTTGGTCGCGGAAATCAATGCAGATCCTGACTTTCCTATTTTTCTTGGTTATGAGTACAATGTTAGCGACCCAGTCAGAGTGTTGAAATTTGACCTCCGATTCAATTGCTTCCATGATCTCTGGACGGAACCGACATTGTTGTTGTTTAACGGGTTTCACTTCCGGATCAATGTTCAGATGATGCATGGCTACTTTTGGGTTAAGACCAGGCATGTCTTCATAGTTCTAGGTGAAAACATCTATATCTTCTCATATGAGAGATACAAGGTCCTCTTTCTCTGATGGTGATAAGTTTTCACTTATGAAAATGGGCTTGGGGTCTGTTTCATATCCCATGTTTATTTGGATCACCTTATCTTTCGTGGGTGGCTTACGTTTCTCAAAACACATATCCCATAAAATGTTAAGGTGTTTGATCCAAGGATCGCCAGTCGATTAAATCAACTCTTCGTCATCTTCTTCGTTATCGCCTGGATGACTAGACGAGGTTATGTTCATAGATAAGCCTTTAAAGATTGCACCAATGCTAACGGTTGAGTCCTATAATGATGTTCTGGATGAGTGGTCTTGATATAGACATTCATTTTCTGAAGGGGGGGGGGGGGGG